ATTCGGCGAGTCGCATGAAGGGTGCGCTGCATCCTGCTAAGGGTTTTCGGCATCTTGTGCTTACTTCCTTGCGTACGAATGACAGCTGCGTATAGCTTAATATATTTTCTGGTGCTTTCACTTCCAGAGACATGTGTAAGCACTGTAAAACTGCCTCGAGGGTGCTTGACCATTTTACACAACGTGGTGCGATCATCCCCCATGCGCGGAATGAGGGTTCTCTACTCGACTACCATTATGGTTACCGCCAAAAACAAAACAGAGTTAAAAAAAAACAAACAGTAACCTGGTTGCCGAGTTCACTAAGTGAATTGGCTTGTTTTACAACGTCGTCGCCAAGCAACGAAAACCCAACCCCGATGGCAAACACCGGGGGAGGGGGGAATAGTCGCGAGGGGGGGACTTAATTCCACCGAGAGGATCGGATTGCATGAAAAGTACACCGAGACTCGTCCGTGTTGCTTCCCGCGCAAAGCAAGTGCCCAATTTTGTGTGTGCAATGGTCTCTCTGTCAGTCGTGTCTTGCTGTTATGCCTGAATGCGTTGCGCAACGTCGTACCCTCCCCCCGCTCCTCCTCGTTCGTCATGTGTGCACGCAGACGGCGCCGGCTGACTGGCGCCAGCAGTCTACGGAAACGTTTATCGCGTCCATGGACAGCATGGGGTATGACAAGGCGCTGCATCACTTGGAAGGCACCGGCTCAAAGTTTGCGAAGGAGACGCGTGTTCGCTTGCGAGAGTTAGAAGCCAAGGTCAGCACAGCGGTCTCGTTAGAGCGAGCCCTCGAGCAAGCGCAAAGGCAACGTAGAACCAAGGAGGGTAGCCGCACGTTTCAAACGATCCTCACCGCTGCGGCATTTCCCGTGGACGACGTAGACGGGACTCCATCGGTGTCAGCAAGACGTAGGGCAGCGGCGCTGGATGTTCGCGAGCAAGCCTTCAACTTTGCGGCGGAGCGCGCCAAGAAATTGCTGTCCGATCTCCAACCAACCGAGGCGATAAAGCACGGTGTCTACTGGTTTTGGCCCCGAGCTAAGCAAGGCAATGCCGCCAGCGAAGAGCTGCTGGAGTTGATGAGACAGTACTGGCACACGGACGAGGTGTCACGCCAGCATGGCAACCCCAAGGTCAACTTGCGGGCAGCGGACCCAGAGGGTGACAGTTGGATGGGGCGGAAACCGGAGTGCAACGCTTTGGACTGCGCTATGTGTGGGTTCGGGGGGACTGACGGCATTCCCATCTGCAGCAAGCTGGAGACCTCCGAGCAGACGGTGGTGTGGAAGATGTTCGAGGACGTGATAACTGTGCCTGCATCAGCGGATGGGAAGATCAAGGCCAAGAAACTCGCCAACCAGACGGTGCCGAAGGAGGGCAAGCTTTGCGATCTTTGGTTGGCTTTCAAAGAGTACACCAAGCTGTACATGGCTCACCACTCTATCGCCAAGTGGCAAAGGCACTGCCACGGGCGTTGCTTGGAGACGTTTCAGGACGGTGACCTTGTCATCGAGACCGACTTTGCCGAGAAGTATACCCACCAATCATACGTCAGCATGATGATGCCTGTTTACCCGCAGACAACGCTCATGGTGGCCATCGTCCACTTCAACCCGCAGACACACGTGGGGGGTGGCAGGGTGCACGTGACGGAAACATGGGTCTTTGCATCTGAGGACATGGCAAGGACGGCGATTTCCACCTGCACGGCTTGGCCAGGATGGTGGACCACTACCTGCGTGGAGATGGGAGCGAACCAACAGCTGCCGCCCGGAAAGAAGGCAGGACGCCTAGGATTCACATCTTTACCGATGGGTGCGGGAAGCAGAACAAGGGAAGGCGGAATTTCCGCTTTTTGGCCGACAGCGTCCCGCAACATGGCTTGTTTATCGACCACCACTTCGCGGCCACATCTCACTTCAAAGGTTGCCATGATGAGATCGGCAGAGTCGCACAGAACGCCATGAAGAGGAGGGAGAGATTTGGCAAGAAAATCATGGGGGCGGACGGGGTGGTCAGCTTTTTGCGAAGCTTCTTTCGGGAGAAGGCAGGCAGCGAGGAGGAGGAGGGTATTCGGAGGTACTTCGCGAAGTGGTCTCCGTACCGCATGCGGAGGGTGCACGTCGAGTTTATCGGTAAGAAGGAGATCTATCTGCCAAACTCGATCCTGAAAGGCTTAGAGGGTACCACTTTGCGGGAGCAAACACTCCCAAGTGGGATGGGTCCACCTCAACCAAGGGCCGCGAAGATGACTGCAAGCTTGTGCTGAAGAGCGAGGGGCAGGGCCAGTTGTCGAGTCTAGAGAAGAGCCGGTTGCGGGAAGTCAAGGTGTTGGGTGCAGTAGCGAGCAGATGGAAGGGTCAGGGGGCTGGGTTGNACAGTTAGCCCTGCGCCTGACCCTGTTTTTGAGCCCAAATTCTGTCACGCGGAGGTTCTTTCGAATAGACTTTTTTCTTTTTTTTTCGTTGCCAAGCCAATCAAAGCCGACTAATTTTGACAGCGGCGTCCATTTCCAGGACAAACAGACTGAACATGTGCTGCGATGGCTTGTATTTTTTTTAATTGTTTGAGCGGGCGTGGATGCTCGCGAACAACAACACATACACGGACAACCCACGGCGGTGGGGTTGATGCATGTGCTCCCTCGTGATCAAACTAGACCTGCGACCACCTCACTGCTGACCGGCGCCACAAATCATGGCCCCGAGTGGCAGGTTATGTTGGTATGTCCGTACTTGGGAGAAGACACGCTTTAACTCTCTCTCATTAGGCACCCGCGGGAGCGAGGAAAGGAGGGGAAGAAGTGGCCCTCCNTATCACGAAGGATTCCAACGGCCGCACTATCAGGGCAGGACCAAGGCAGGACAGATTGGACAGGCCACGCTGATTACACACCCGAAGCAATTGGTCAAAAACCCTAAGCTCCCGCCGCGGGTGACGCCCCTGCCCAACGCTTGCTGCGTGACATACCGTGGTCCGAGACGCGCCCAGTGCTAGAACAAAACAAA